ACTGTAACATATGTACTGTGGAATAATTACGGAGGGGGTGGGGTGGAGCAGTAACGGGGACAGTGAGATGGGGAGGAGGGGGTGGGGATGGGTCAATGAGGGACGTTCGAGACGGAGGGGGCAGCGACAAGCGGAGGGGGACAGTGAGATACAGTGAGAGGCAGATTAGGGAGTTGAATCAATGTATTCACATAAAATTGTTTTCACATACAATTTCGCCCACAACGGTAATTAAGTTCCCATTAAATGTTAATTATGCCGGGCAAGCCAAAAACACTCGCGTGTAATCAGTCCGGTCTATTATTAGTTGTATATTTGTTTATGATATTTCCTGCAAAACGTTGTGACCTGACCTGGTCAAGCACTATTTAAATATGACTTAATTTATTTCTGTTATCTCTTCTTCGTAGCAATTTTCCGACTCTTTTATTACGTTCCTCAATAAAATATTACACGTAATTGTTTTCAATAACCCTTGAAAAAACAATATGGGTTTGGCCAGTAAATTTTTGGAGCTTAGTGGTCATAATACGTCGAATAGTACCATTGTAGTGATCTAATGTCGTCAGTGTTGTCACATGGTTGTTCGAAGGATAATGCAGACGACATTCCACACTCAAAGGGACGTAACTCAGTCATAGATGTCAGTATAATGCTACAATTATTCACAACACGAACTTGTTGTTGAAGAAGTATTTCAGAGCAACCTCGAATTTACTTACACAATTAACAGCCCGAAAAAGACATTCGGACATTATGCAGTCTTACCTTTCGCCCCCATATGAAATGGCAGTATACTTGAGCCCAGAACTAAAAGACGCGTGCATAAAATGATTGAAGCGAGGTGTGTCGGATCAAGGGGAGTAACTCTCGTTTAGCACGTACAACAAAAGTAAACTTCCTGTGTCAATCCGCGAATCTTAGGTGTCATCTGTGAAAACACATCTGTCCCCGTCTCGGTGCTGGCCACGGACAGGCGACACCTTTGGTATTCATACCATGGGGATGGAATGTCGACATGACGGTTAGTTGAAATACTTCATATTTCTATCAATATGTAAACTTGCACGGCACGTTGGTGCTCGATCTATCGTCTCTGTGATCGAGCTACCAGTACGAGCCGGGCTCATCCATCAATGAAAAAATACTTAGATGGTTAGGCTATTTAGTATGTGGTGTTAGAAAAGCATCCGGCTGAAAAAGAACGTGTTTTGTAAGGGATTATTTTGTCAAAATGTTGTCGGCAAAGAATGTGAACTGATTGGAAATAATTCCACTGATTTATTGACATGAGGTTAGTCATTCATAAATATTTAAATAGGGTCAGCATTGGTTCATGGATCATCCCACTCTGAATGTTTTGTGTGGGACTCGAAGCACATCATTTTATTAACCCACTTGTAATTGTTTACATGCATAAGTCATAATCTTAATTTTAACGTGATGGAAAGTTTCAAATTAAATTTATTTTCAGTTGTCATTTTTGTATTTTGACAGATAAACTTCTAAACTAAGAAAATATGAATATTTTGGAAACTAATTTTCGCCAATGTGGTGTCAGTGGTTGTCTGTGGGTCGGTTATTTTAGTTGTCAGGTGAATGCAGTGAATAGTGTGAATGCATCTCGTTTCATAGGGTTGTGATGGATGGGAAGGACAGAGGAAGGGGGGTTAGTCATATTTATCGTATCCCAATTGCGTGGATCGATGCTCATGATGTCAATCACTGGATTGACTGGTCCAGACTCGATTATTTACAGACCGCCGTCATACAAGTGTAATATTGCTGAGTGAGGCGTTAAACAACAAACAAACAAAAATCATATAAGGGGCTGCAATTCACTTTGCATTTTGTTTTCTATAGTTTTCTATCTACCAACCAAATATTTTACTATCAATATGAGAAAAAGCCTGGACTATGGGTTTCACAAATGAATCTGTTAAAACCAATAAATTAAACAAGTGGCTTTTGGCCACCATAATTTTAATGTTAGATTCATATCAAACTTTGTTTTTACTTTTCTTAAACAAACTGCTCTAGGTACCTCTGTACTGTGTGTTCTAAACCTCATGTTTTCTGCATATTCTTGTAAGTCTTTTTATTGTCCTGATGGGTTCGCTCATTAACTGACCAAGTTTCATGTAAAATGTATAAACCAAATACAGTGTAAAAACCATTATCCAAGTACATGCACTCCAGCAACCTCTATAACTGCCATTTATTTACAGTCCCATCAAAATTTGGTTATAACATCATTATTTAAACCCTTGGTACTCCAGCATCTGTCTATTCTGGATACCTATATTGGTGCCAATCTCCAATTTTTTCTCCAAATATCTGAATCAGCGACAGCCTCCGTGGTCTTTTGGTAGAGCGTCCACCCAGAGAGCAGAAGGTCTGGGGTTCGATCCCCGGCCGCGTCATACCAAAAGACATTAAAAGATGGTACTTGTTTTAACCCATTCTGGCGCTCGGCATTAAGGGGCTTAAACACACACACACACATACACACACACGCACACACACACACACGTCGCTATATAAAAGCAATATCTTGGACGCGACGTTAAACCCAATTTCACCTCACCTCCAAATATCGGCATTGTTTTCTGTCAAGATCATGGATGGTTCAAGAGGATTACTGTAACTTTATTGGCATGCTTGCAATGATTGTGTTTGCCTAGCGAGTCAATTAGCCTCGTTAAATCAGAAGGCAAGGTAAGTGAGTGCTGGGTGGTGTCAATCTGTAATATTCTGCTGGAGCAAATGAATCAGCAAATGCTTCACCAGAGACGCAAAGTGTTATTACTTCCTTTCGGGGCGGTAGGGTAGCCTAGTGGATATAAGCATTCGTTTGTCACACCGAAGGCCTGGGTTCGATTCTCCACATGGGTGCAATGTGTGAATCCAATTTGCCGTGATATTACTGGAATATTGGTAAAAGAGCAACCTCACTCACTCTCTATTACTTCCTTTGATGTTGACTTTAGAAACAGACAAACTCAATAGTCAAACACTGTCTACATCAGCACTTTTGGACGGTTCCAAAAGATGCCAGTTCAGACAGTGTTCACTGTATGTTTAATACATCTGTGTAGCTTTCTGGGCTGATAGTATTTGGGACCCGTGAAGATTCCGGGGTTGAATGGGCCTTCAGCAACCCAAGCTTGCCGTAGGGGGTGACTGTGCTAAAAGCAGCGGTAGAAATTAACAGTTTTAGTCCACTAGTCCTTATAATGATAACATATAGCAAAACCCTTAAAAAGGGCAAATTTCTGCTAGTCCTTAGGATACCTTAACTATTAGGCAGTTTGGCAAGGACTATAGTGTCAATTTCTAACGCTGAAAAGGCGACTAACGTGATCGGGTGGTCAGGCTTGCTGACTTGGTTGATGCATGTCATCAATCCCAATTACGTGGATCGATGCTCATGATATTAATCACTGGATTGTCTCGTCCAGACTCGATTACTTACAGACCGCCATCATATAGCTGGAATATTGCTGAGTGCGGCGTTAAACAACAAACAAACATGATAGTATTTGGATTGTGAATGTATTTTATTAAATTTCAGATAGAACCCAGGCCCTCTTTCATACAAGTTAAAGAGGATCTCCATTAGGTTTGTTTGCTGAAAGAAACCAGAGAATTCAGCGTTCTTATCTATCATACCATGCCCATCTTTCTTCATGCGTCGAAGAATGATTTTCAAGTTGGGAGTAACGGTTGTGATAGCTGTAGCTGTCATCATCGTGTATATACAGCACACCGACCCTGACCTTCAACATCAAGGTGAAGACGAGGTCAAGGACAAGTTGGTAGTTGAAAGGAAACAAGATGATGGAGTCAAGAAAGAATCTATAGATGGAGCGGATAAGGAACACATGACTTCATATAAAAAATCTGAGCCTTTGAAAAAGTCAGAAAACATTCCCAAGTCGGACAAACATCATGGCATTGAGAAATCCAATGGAAATCAGAGCCATTCCGATGACAGTGTTGTGAATAAGAAAATAAATGGCAAGACCAAAGGGTTAAAAGCAGTTTATTCAAGGTAAGTCTTTAATGTTGATTTGGTATTTTCAACAAAGATTTCAGTAGCTAGAGTAACACATGAACTCAAGTAAGAAAGAAATGCCTACCGTTATCCTGACAGGAATACCCAGGATTCCATACTAAGTACCCATGGTCAGTGACAATAAAGTCTCCCTTACAAAACGCTAAGCTTAGTCATTACTATGTAGTATATGGGAAGAGACCGGTGAAGATCCAGGGTAGAATAGGTCTTCAGCAACCCATGCTTGCAGTAAAAGGCGACTATGCTTGTCTGAAGAGACGGCTAATGGGATTGGGTGGTCAGGCTCACTAACCTGGTTGATGCATGTCATCATATCCCAATTGCGTAGATTGATGCTCATGATGTCAGTCACTGGGTTTTCTGGTCCTGGCTCGATTATTTACAGACCGCCATCATACAGTTGGAAATTTGCTGAGAGAGGCATTAAACAACAAACAAACAAAATCTATATGAGAAGATTTGGGAATTTGCTGAGGACTTGGGACTGAATGTTAGCTTTTGAGAAAGTCTAGATTAATCCTTGGATAATGTATATTGACAGGTGATCCACCCACCCATGGTTCTTGAGCCAATCAGATGTCAGCTTTTTAAAACAATTAAACCACCTTTAAATTAACCACCTTGATTCGAAAAGATAGATTTTAACAAAAGAAATTCACACAGGGCCAGTATATGTTCAGGTTAATTTGCTTATCTGATTTTGGCTCAGTACCTTGAATCAAGACTATTATGATTGTATATTTCAGCTCACAATCTGCTCCAAAAGACTCCATCCACCTCTCAGTTGTTGCGTGTGGTGATCGCACACCTGAATCTCTCATCCTCTTAAAATCAGCCGTATTATTCACAAGCAAGCATCTGGTATTCCACATATTTGCTGAAACACAGCTTCAGAAAGACTTTAGAGACCAGGTATGTAAAGCTTGCATGCATGTAGTGCAGACCATGACTTATAGCACCAACACTAATATACTAGTTACATTCTGATTGGTCGAATTCCTAGAATGAAGTGACAGCCTCCGTCAGATAGTGGTAGAGCATCTGCCGGTCGAAACTTCCAGGGTTCGATTTCCGGCTGCGTCACACCAGAAGACGTGAAAAGATGGTACTTGTTGTTACCCTGTCTGGCGCTCCGCATTAAAGGGCTTAAACAAGGACTGGTTAGCTCGAAGTCAGTATACTGTGTCTGAGTGCGGTATGGTGTCACAGAACAAGCAGTCACACGCACGCATGCACGCACGCACGCACACTCACACACACCACACACACACACACATCGCTATGTAAGTGCAATCATCTTGGATGCGACTTTAAACCCCATTTCACCTCACTTCACCTTGAAGGAAGTTGATCTGAACAGTCCAAAACACTTTGAGTGCATTCCATCCCTATCAGTCAAATCGTTGTCGTAAGCCAGCCATGGTAACTTCTTGCGATTTACTTATTTATTTTGTTAGGGGCGTTAAGACTATAGTGAATGGTGGTGACTGTGACCCAACGTACTTACATCTTTGTATATATTGTAATATGTCTTCGTTTACAAACTAAATATTCTATAGTAAAAAATTACACAAAATTACACAACCTTTAATTGTTAATTATTCTTGACAATTTAAAAAAAGGGTGACATTCAACCATGGGCGAAAACTTCATCAGATCGAAGAGATTCTGGCACACCTAAGAAATGAAACCATGCCCAGCAATTTGAGATGCCTCAGATGATTGGTACACTCTTGCCCTCTGATGGATGGACAGATCTTCCTGAGGCAAGGGAGTCCTGCTGACTGAAAGTCCAGTTTCCATCCTTGCCGAACTAGGGGGACCTATAGACCTATAGAGTTATGTTTTGGCTGGACTAACCAGTCTATGCATAGTCCAATCAAAATTGTGTAACAAAATCAAAATTCAGTTCCTAAACCGCTGTGCAAATTTCGGTCGGATTTGCAAAACATGTGAACGTCAATTTAGCATCAACAGATATTTTTCAAATTATTTCATGATTTTAGTCAAGGTGCTTACATGATTTGGTGCATTTTGCGAAGTAAGACCCGTTTTATTACAAAGAAGAACTTGATTATTGATTATTGATTCACTGGGCGACACCAATTTATTTGAAGCAAATGCAAGTGATTTGAAAGGTGGAATCTGATTAGTCAATAGGAGGTACATAGAACATGTAGAAGGGACATAACTCCTAACAGCCACCGCTGGTGCTACGATTGAGCCCAGAAATTCCAGTGTAGTTCAGCAAGGAGGGAAACTGGACTTTTACAGTCAGTTAACTCCCTTGCCTCAGTAAGATGGGATGGACATGGTGAAGATGGAATCGGTTTCTCCTGAAATAGATTATTTAAAATTTGTTTTATGTTTTGTATAGCTGGACTTTTGGCCGGCTGACTTTCTGTCCAAGGTGGACTACTTCATCTATGACATCAGCTTCCCATCTGGAGGCAAGACGGACCACTGGAAGCAGCTCTTCAAGCCCTGTGCCTCACAGCGCCTCTTCCTGCCAGTAAGTATACTGTGCTTCACAGCGCCTCTTCCTGCCAGTAAGTAGACCGTGCCTCGCAGCGACACTTCCTGCCAGTAAGTAGACCGTGTCTCACAGCAACTCTTCCTGCCCATAACTAGACCGTGCCTCACAGCGCCTCTTCCTGCCAGTAAGTAGACCATGCCTCACAGCGACACTTCCTGCCAGTAAGTAGACCGTGCCTCACAGCGACTCTTCCTGCCAGTAAGTAGACTGTGCCTCACAGCGACTCTTCCTGCCAGTAAGTAGACCGTGCCTCACAGCGACTCTTCCTGCCAGTAAGTAGACCATGCCTCACAGCGACTCTTCCTGCCAGTAAGTGGATCACATGTAGGAGCGTCCAGAGAAGTGTTCAAAATACACAGGGGCCCGTTGGCCCGAGGCCGACATATTTCTTCTTGGGCTGATAGATTTAAATTTCAGCAGGCCCTAACAGCCTGCAGTTTGTTTAAGAAATAATTTATTAAGCATTATTTAAGTAATATGATAAACATTTCTTTCATATTTATTTGTATATAATCAGAAATAGACCTTTCAAATGGTGTTTAACATGTAGTCGCAAAGATGTTTTACAAGCTGATAATTTCCCAATAAATGGAGGCTTCATTTATCACCATTGAGTCTCTGGGAACTCTGTTTGATAGCAGTAAAAGCTTCTGGTTGACTGGTTGAGTTCTGTAAATCATTTGCAAGAGTATGTCTCCCTGCTTGGGCGAAAATGTTGGAGCCTACAGTTTTTCCACTTGGCCTCCAGTTTTTCCACTGGGCCTACATTTCTTTAAATGTACTGGCCTTAAGGCCCTCAGTGTACTCTGCAGAGTTTCAGACACTGATTCAGGGGTATTTCAAGAAGTGATGGAGATGTTGTTATTCTCCAGTGTGCTACAGAGCACTAAAGGTGGGCCCTAATTAAAGAAGAGCCAACTTAAAAATGATGTTTATCCGTCATCGGACTCTGAATGTCATAGGGCAGATAATAAGCAGCTGTAAAGTTTGTCTGTCGCAGGTTAAATTTTACTTATCTGTTATTCATCAATATGTCACCAACTTTTTTCCATACCTAATGTTGGCTTGAACAGCCCACCTTAACTGTGGGCTGTGAGGTACATCCTGAGCCCTGGCACATGCAGTCCCTGCAACTGATGTAGAGGCAGATCACATGACTGTCCTCTATAAAGACTACATGTGCTAGGAACCCAGCACACACCATATATATCAAAATATATATCAATAATATGCTAGTTAAAACAACTACATGGTCAGTGTGAACACTCACCATGCGGGACACACCATGCGGGACACACCATGCCGGACCACCAAGCTACATAACATTTCATTTGTTATATTTACAGGACTCTTCCATTGCAATATAAAGCATCAGCCCAGTGTACGGACTTTGTTGTTCCTGTGACATGTCCACTTCCTTTCTATTGAAATCTGAATAGCTGAATATATTTTGGGAATCATACAGTGCAACCAGCATGTTTACATGTTTCGCGGTATAGCATAGACATGATAGACAATATGTGGTCCTTTTTAGGGTGCTTCAGTCAATACAAGCTCTCGTTGTGCGGGGTTCAGATTTCTTGTATATGTTTGCCAGTGGCACAATTGAAATCTCAGTGATGCTTTTGAAACAGTTTCCTGGTGCTTACAGGGCACACTCAGACATCAGATATATGGGTCATTCTCAAAAAATGTCAGAATTTCAACTAAGCAAAAACATCAAAATTGTCTTTTGTAAAATTCCTTTTTTATTGACTCAGTACACAAAGTAACTTCTGAATAATAATGTTAAGCAAAATGACACCTTAATAATCAATGATGTCCTAATTATGATAATTAATTAACACTGAATAGGAAAAATATGTCTGTCCTGTTACCATGTTAACAATTATATTTTCTGTAACAATATTTTTCAAAGTTCAACACAAATCATGTCAGTTCTTGTTTTTAAATGTATTGTTTAATATTTCAATGAGTACAATTAAAAAGAGATTGGATACATTATTTTATGGACAGATTTGTCCAGCATTTGAGTCAAATGAAAACATTTGAATTCATTCAAATCCAATATGACAAACATACCCTGATTATTGCATCATATATTTGACACATATGCTTCATTAGATGATATATGTTTGAATTCAAATATGTTCTTCTGAAAAATAAAAATAAATAATCAGTATATTTCTATTTTAAGTGCTGGTAACAGGACAGACAACGTAGTAACAGGACGGACAATTGAAAGTAACAGGACGGACAATCGGCTTTGATTGCAGATAACTATAACGTTCAGGAGTTTCAAGATTTTGAAATATCTGACAAATACGAAAAAAGTATGTGCAATTGATTACACCTGAACATATAAGGTGTAATTAACTGAATATTCTTGTATGTAATCTGAACTATAGAAATCGGTCGGTAACAGGACGGACAATTGAAAGTAACAGGACGGACAAACTTATGTTTGCAGTCAACTATCCTGTTCAGAAGTTCAAAGTATTGAACTCTGACAAATAAGAAAATGTTTTGCTTAATTAACAGTATCTGATCATATGGATATTATTAACTGAATGTTCTTCTATGTAATGTGAATGTAGGATACTGGTAGGTAACAGCACAGACGGAAGTAACGCCAAAGACAATAACTTTTGCATTTTGGGTTAATCCCTAGAATTACAAAGAATTTAAATTAAATTGATTTAAACTTACACTAAATAGTCATGTGACAGTTTTTGTCATGAAGCAACAACACAATAACCAACTTTATCCATGTCAAACATCAACATAATCTGGAGAAAAAAAATCTTGTCAGAAGATTTCCTGTTGAAGCTGTATTCTTTTGCAATTGTATTCGCAAATACTCAAATAAACGGTCTGAAAAGGTGAATTATAGTTTCCTTAAAAGTACAATTCACTTGTATCTATGTTTATTTGATTAGTGCCAGAATTAAATGGTGCCTTTCATTCACCCAGAAACCACAGGTTGTTTATTGTTTCTGTTTTATCATATCTGTAATAGCTTCCCAGTAAATGTTTTCAACACTGAAGTGGGAAGCAGTGCCTTCAATCTTCTTTCGTTCAGGAATGATGGTAATAATGTCCTCGTGCTTGTACCAGCATTTGTCCAGCAGGAGTCTTGGCCAAAAGAATCATTTTTGATCTCATTTTTTGCCAGGCTTGTGCATGCATTCGACATATATATTATAGGTAGAAACATCTATGTATCCAGGATATGGAAAACCATCATATAACACAACCACACATTTTCCAAGACACTCTTCTGTATCATCTGGAACGGATAGTAAAATGTCACTCTCACTTTTCTCAACCTCACCCTTCTCCACCACACCACCTGTCCTCTCCACCTTTTTCTCAACCTCACCCTTCTCCACCACACCATCTGTCCTCTCCACCTTTTTCTCAACCTCACCCTTCTCCACCACACCACCTGTCCTCTCCACCTTTTTCTCAACCTCACCCTTCTCCACCACACCATCTGTCCTCTCCACACTTTTCACAACCTCACCCTTTTCCACCACACCACCTGTCTTCTCCACCCTTCTGTTGTTTTTTCATCAGATAACTATCTTCAACAAAGTAGTCTATTTTTTTATGTATATATGTTTTCTTCTAAACAGTGATAAATTTGAAAACATATCTCTTAATGTTTCATAAAATTAGAATATTTAGTGATTGGATAAGAAACGTTAGATAAAGATGACCAAATGTCTGTGCTGTTACTTTTAAGTCTTAACCAAATTTTTTTATTTAGCTTGGAAGATTTGTTCAGCCATAGCCTCTTGAATGCCTGTGTTATTACAAAAGAATTATTTGTGTTAATATGGTAATTATATTATTGATTGGTTATACTAGGAAAGACAGTTTAAGGTGATGATAAGTCTGTGCTGTTACCACGGAATGTCTGTGCTGTTACTTTTTCATCAGATAGCTATCTTCAACAAAGTAGTCTATTTTTTATGTATATGTTTTCTTCTAAACTGTGATAAATTTGAAAACATATGTCTTAATGTTTCATAAAATTTGAATATTGAGTGATTGGACAAGAATAATTAGATAAAGCTGACCAAATGTCTGTGCTGTTACCAATATTTGTCTCTGCTGTTACTTTTAAGTCTTGAGCAACTTGTTTTTATTCAGCTTGGAAGATTTGTACAACTATAGCCTCTTGAATGTCTGTGTTATTTCAAAAGGAATTATTTGAGTTATTATGGTAATTATATTATTGATTGGTTAAACAAGGAAAGACAGTTTAAGATGATGATAAGTCTGTGCTGTTACCACGGAATGTCTGTCCTGTGTACATGTTTGAAGGTAACAGCACAGACAGTAACAGCATAGACAAATTGACATTAATAACAGTTTTTTCTAATGAGACCTCCCTTGAAATGTTGAGACCACATGGCATTGTGAACAGTTCATATTTTCTAATATTCTGAAAAAATGGTTTTAGAAAAAAATATTTGTTTTGGCAAAAATGAGCAGTAACAGCACAGACATAAGAAAAGAGTATTCATGATAGCACTAAACTTCCCTGTCAAGCAGAATTATCCAAAGTCTTCTCTCACTTGAAGGACACTGCTGCCATGATAGTACAGGAAGTAAGCTGTATTTCTGTTATTTTGAATTATGGGAATCTTGAAGGATTATTTATTTTTCAGTTTTGATCCATCCTGGTAACAGGACAGACACTTTTTTATGTACAAGTGTTTCTTACCAAAAACCAATATAAATAAAAGAGTGTATCTTGAAAAAGATAAGTTTATATCATGAGTTAGAAAGGTAATGTACAATATATAAACATTATTTACATAATATTTTTTATTTTTAGCAACATTAAACAATGTTGATGTGCAAACATAGGGTTACGGACACACCCTTCAGCTCAATTTAACCGCAATTAAGCAGTTTTAATTAAAATAAAATACCTAATAAGAAATACTGAAACTTAACTTTCAGACACCATGGTATGTTCTACGAAAAACACTTGTGTTTAAACATATCTAAAATAAATATTTTAATTGTTATTCAACTCGGACTAAAAAACTCACTTTTTTTGAGAATGACCCATATATATATATATACTACTTGGGATGTACTTGTGTGCAGCCATTGAGAAATGTACTTGTGAAAATGGCTACCCTTACTGAACCCTAGCCTGTCTCAGTCGTTAACATGAGGTGCTGAGGTACGGGATTATGCTGTTTGTTTGTTTGTTTGTTTGCTTGTTTGTTGTTTAACACTGCACTGAGCAATATTCCAGCTATATGACGGCAGTCTGTAAATAATCGAGCCAGGTCCAGACGATCCTGAGATTGACATCTTGAGCATTGATCATTGGGATACGATGACATGCATCTACCATGCCTGACCACCCAATCCTTTTAGTTGCCTCTTACGACAAGCATAGATGGCTTTTATGGCAAGCATAGGTTGCTGAAGACCTATTCTACCGAACATCGTCACGGGGCATAGCCACTAGGATAGCCCATTGACCCCTAGCCTGTTTCAGTCATTATCCTGAAAAAACATAAGTCGGACACATTGTAAATTATGTAGATCGATGCTCATGATGTCTATCACTGTATTGTCTGGGTCAGACTAGATTATTTAGTGAGTGTTAAACAAACAAACAAACAATATCATAAGGCTCTGGTGCCTGAATACCTTTTGATAATGTTTCAGTTGATATGTATACTTTCACATAAGACACAATGTAAGAGAATTGGACAAATACATCTTAATTGGGCATATTCCAATCTCATTAAAATCAGATCTTGGTTCTCGCTATTGCTAAACAAAGATCTGAGGACATCCCATTATGGGTCACGTCAGAACGACCTTTCATCGACCAATCAGAGCGTCCCTTACCTGATCGTGAAAGTGACAGTCGGAATGTGTTTTCTGATCATGCAACCTCAAAAACGTTAATACGGGGTATTCCGAATGACTGATTCCGTCAAAATTATCGTCTATCTCTCGCTGACGTGGAATAAACAATTGAACGGAAGAGGCGTTGCACAGTTCGTGGAAAGCACTGCCATACAATCTAAACCATATATTAGACATTCTAGAATATTCGTTTGTTCTGTTTTCAAAATTTTAATCGAGAACTGTGTCAACATATTTTTGAAGCGTAGTCTGAAATGGAAGTCACCTTTCTAATTGGCTAATTCGACTTGTTGTTAGTCATTTCAAAGTTCGCGAAAGGTCGTTCTGACGTGACCCGTAATGGAATGTCCTCAGATCTTTGTTTAGCGGCAGCGAGAACTTAGATCTGATTTTAATGAGATTGGGCATTTTCTGAGTTGTAGTGGTATCATGAGTGGTAAAATCACATATATACATACCCTGGGTGATACTTCTTCAATGAATTGATCTTGCCATCATGTTCAATCTGCCATTGTGACAGAATTAGAATAAAATGAAAATTGATAGAAGACGGCCGTGCGATTGAGTTGAGGTTATTTTGTGCTGTGTCAGGTGACATAAACAACATGCAACTTTTTCTTCATTGTGGGGTGCAAAATTTTTTTTCTCTTAACTCAGACATTTATTTCCCTCCCAGGGATATGTAGTATTTTATCACGATCACACGAACTAATAAGATCACGAAAGACCCGTGAAGATCCGGATAGAATGGTGGGTTTGGGTGGTCAGATTTGCTGACTTGGTTGACGCATGTCATCGTGTCCCAAATGAGTGGGTCAATACTCGTGATGTCAATCACTGGTTTGTCGGGTCAAGAATATTTACAGACAGCATTCATACAGCTGAATTATTGCTGAGTGCGGCATTAAGCAACAAACAACCAATCGGATCTCAAAATTCTGACATGGAGGTAAAATGACAGGTCATGATGAAATTAGAATCAACACTTTCGAAGATCGATGAAAGCTATTCGTCTTTTCAGAACGCTTAAATTCCAACAGGCACACCTAAACATCTGAGTGTTATAAGTGTCCACTTGACAACTACCCAAACAGTTTCTATCCATGGAATGGCACACTCAACATGATGAAGCACATGCAGTAAAGCCCCATTAACAGTATCAGTATTCACCCGTGAAGATTCCGTGGTAAAATAGGTCTTCAGCAACCCATACTTGCTGTAAAAGGCGACTATGCTTGTCGTAAAAGGCGACTAACGGGATTGGGTGGTCAGGTTCGCTGACTTGGTTGATACATGTTATCGATCCCAATTGCGTGGGTCGATGCTCATGTTGTCAACCGCTGGATTGTCTGGTCCAGACTCGATTATTTTACAGACCGCCGTCATATAGCTGGAATATTGCTGAGTGCGGCGTTAAACAACAAACCAACCAACCAACCAACCAACCAACCAACCAACCAATATTCACCCAAATAGCATTCCCAGCTCCCTGGGGAATAAACACGCTTGCTGATAAGCGCCAAAGTATTTTGCATTCACATCAACATTTAATCCTAACAGGGGTACCTTTAACAGCTGAGTGAACAGGCTATTTGACCATGTGAGATGTTGTTGTTCCAGACACTGCTGACTGATGTCGATGCCCTGATCTATGTGGACACCGACATCCTGTTCCTGAGCCCGCTGGAGGGTATCTGGAGTTTCTTCCAGCTCTTCAACTCCACCCAGCTCGCCGCCCTGGCGCCAGAACATGAGGATGCGGCAGCAGGATGGTACAACCGCTTTGCCAGGCACCCTTACTATGGGGAACTAGGTTTGTCCCTGTACCTGATTCCTTCATTCATTTCTAGGAGCAGCAGTTGCCCAGTTGTCCATTTGATGCAGTGAGTGAGTGAGTTTGGTTTTACGACGCTTTTAGCAATATCACGTCGGGGGACACCAGAAATGGGCTTCACACATTGTACCCATGTCGGGATACGAACCCGGGTCTTCGGTGTGACGAGTGAACGCTTTAACCACTAGGCTACCCGACCGCCCCTGATGCAGGCCCGTGAAGACACGGGGTAGAATAGGTCTTCAGCAACCCATACTTGCCGTAAAGGCGACTATGCTTGTCGTAAGAGGCGACTAACGGGATCGGGTGGACAGGCTCACTGACTTGGTTGATGCATGATCGATGCTCATGATTCAATCACTGGATTGTCTGGTACAGACCTCGTTTATTAACAGACCGCTGTCATATAGCTGGAATATTGCTGAGGGCAGCGTTAAACAACAAACCAACCCCTTGTGACCCGTGAAGATCCGGGGTAGAATAGGTTTTTATACACCCATTCTTGCCGTAAAAGGTGACTATGCTTGTCGTGAAAGGCGTAAATGTTTGCTGCAAGTCTGTTTAGAATTGCATCCTCTTCATCATGTTCATGGATACAGCTTAGAATTAGTCCCAGCAACCTATGTTGGTCGTCAGAGGTTACTTAATGGATCGAGTGGTCAGGCTTGGTTGCGTGTTTGATAAGGTGTCATTGTACCGTCACTTAGATCATTGCTCACAATGTCAATCACTGTATTGTCTGGTCCAGACTTGACTGTTTGTCGTCTGGCTGGAATATTTCAGGGTGTGAAGTGAAACAACAAACAAACAATGACAAAGGAAGAGTGCATGTTATGGACTGAATCCACACTAGAATTGGATCACATATGAATCTTCCAAAGAAACATCATGTTCACTGCAATGACATAAAAAAATATCCTGCATACCACCTGTACCAAAGTGCTATGCTTATGATTCTTATAAATTTAAGTATATATATAGTGGAAACTCATACGAAAATAACACGATATTGGAATATATTATTCCTGATAAAATAATAATTTCAGATACAGTTTCTTCCGACCATTGCATCAAAATTCTATGAAGTTGTATCATTGGATACTTTTTAACTGAAACACCGGTAGATTGGGAGGAAACGTGCTTAGGCTGATTGCTATTTCCGGCTTAGTTTACGAGAAAATACACACGGTAATCTTAATCTCTGCATATAAAATATTGCCTTGGTTAGTAGGAAATACATTTTCAATTGTAAATCATCATGTCACGTGATGTTTTATATCAAATTTCATTTTTTTTATTGACCAAATTTGTTTTACCTGTTTAATTCACCTGAATTCGCTGAAGGGATATGATGTGTGTTTTTTAAAGCGCATACTAATAAATCTCTTTATACACTCTGAATCATAAACAAACTTATACTCTGAAACGTGCAGCGTAATTCCTGTAAGGTAGGCAGAGCATGTAAACAATTTTGTTTGTATTCTGCCACCTACGACTCGACCTTCGTTAAACCGCTGATCATCGATAACGCTCATCAATTATTTTAACCTCAAAGGTAGCGCTGTAGCAAGGGATCACTGTATGAATATCGCCAATGTTTTGTTCAACAACAAAGATTTATAGGTACTTTATTTTATATGGCAAATCCTAATTTTACTGGTGCAAAAATGGTTATTACCGGTAACTGGGAAGAGGAGGAGGGATGCACACACCAGGAACCTCACTGGATCCCTCGGCTTAGCTTGCATCAGGTATATCTTGCTGTGTCATGACATTAGGCTGGCATATAACATTGATCAGAGCTTCAGAACTAAAATAATGTTCCAAGAATGAAACATATTTACTCTGTGAACATCTGCATTATATTCTCTTATTCATTAACGTCTTTAAATTTCCATATTTCAGGTCTTAATTCTGGAGTGATGTTGATGAACCTGACTCGTCTGCGAGAATCAGTTTGGCTGCCGTCCTTGATAGAGTATTATAAAGAATATAAACTGAAAATAGCCTGGGGCGACCAGGACCTCATCAACATCTACTTTCATTACTTCCCAGGTATGTGGTATGTCATATATCAGGATCTTTAGTGTGACCTGTTTAGTCAGGACCTCATCAACTCTACTTTCATTACTTCCCAGGTGTGTAGTATATCATATATATCAGAATAAATAGAGTGACCTGTTTAGTCAGGACCTCATCAACTCTACTTTCATTACTTCCCAGGTGTGTAGTATATCATATATATCAGAATAAATAGAGTGACCTGTTTAGTCAGGACCTCATCAACTCTACTTTCATTACTTCCCAGGTGTGTAGTATATCATATATATCAGAATAAATAGAGTGACCTGTTTAGTCAGGACCTCATCAACTCTACTTTCAATACTTCCCAGGTGTGTAGTATATCATATATCAGGATATATAGTGTGACCTGTTTAGTCAGGACCTCATCAACTCTACTTTCAATACTTCCCAGGTGTGTAGTATATCATATATCAGGATATATAGTGTGACCTGTTTAGTCAGGACCTCATCAACTCTACTTTCATTACTTCCCAGGTGTGTAGTATATCATATATATCAGAATAAATAGAGTGACCTGTTTAGTCAGGACCTCATCAACTCTACTTTCAATACTTCCCAGGTGTGTAGTATATCATATATCAGGATATATAGTGTGACCTGTTTAGTCAGGACCTCATCAACTCTACTTTCAATACTTCCCAGGTGTGTAGTATATCATATATCAGGATATATAGTGTGACCTGTTTAGTCAGGACCTCATCAACTCTACTTTCATTACTTCCCAGGTGTGTTGTATATCATATATCAGGATATATAGTGTGACCTGTTTAGTCAGGACCTCATCAACTCTACTTTCATTACTTCCCAGGTGTGTACTATATCATATATATCAGAATAAATAGAGTGACCTGTTTAGTCAGGACCTCATCAACTCTACTTTCATTACTTCCCAGGTGTGTAGTAAATCATATATATCAGGATATATAGTGTGACCTGTTTAGTCAGGACCTCATCAACTCTACTTTCATTACTTCCCAGGTGTGTAGTATATCATGTATCAGAATATATAGTGTGACCTGTTTAGTCAGGACCTCATCAACATCTACTTTCATTACTTCCCAGGGGTGTAGTATATCATATATCAGGATATATAGTGTGACCTGTTTAGTCAGGACCTCATCAACTCTACTTTCATTACTTCCCAGGTGTGTAGTATATCATATATCAGGATATATAGTGTGACCTGTTTAGTCAGGACCTCATCAACTCTTCTTTCATAACTTTCCATCGAACCCCAGGGGTGTAGTATATTATATATCAGGATATATACATGATATAGTGTAACCTGTTCAATCAGGACCTCATCAATATCTACTTACTTCACAGGTGTGTAGTATATCATATATCAGGATATCAGAAAAAAACGTTTATGCTCTTTTCGTCTCAAGGTGCACATTTGGCTGTGTAACCTTCTCCTTTGAAATAGCCAGGGAACTGAACTTTGGCATGTATGTTTCTTCTGATGGGGGCATCATATTTTGTTCAAGTTATTTAGAGTTTAGTGTTTTAAGTCCTTGGTCATATATTAAGGCCTGAATTTTTTTTAATATAAGTGCCTGCAGCCCTGTCTGTCTTTGTTTCCACCTAACTCTGTTGTCTACACATACAGGTGAGCTACAGTTCTGTAGCACTCTTGTTATTGTCTCTTTGACCAAAACAATGTAACGCCAAATAGAATGATATGACTTGATCTTCACGGATGTATTTCATTTCTGGAACTGTGTATTGGCATCAAACATTGTCTGGCATTATATTGTGATATACATTTGTATTGTATACATGTTGTGATATATATTGTGATATATACTGGGAGCTAAAGTGTTTGATACTGATTGACACTGGTTGTACATAGAGATTGTCTTGTCTACATACTAAAGTAGATCCGTGAGGTTTCGGGGTAGAATAGGTCTTTAGCAACCCATACTTGCCGTAAAAGGCGATTATACTTGTCGTAAGAGGTGACTAACGGGATCGGGTGGTCAGGCTCGCTGACTTGGTTGAAGCATGTCATCAATCCCAATTGAATAGATCGATGCTTGTGATGTCAGCCACTGGATTGTCTGGTCCAGTCTTGAATATTTACAGACCGCCGTCATATAGCTGGAATATTGCTGAATGCAGCATTAGAAATCAAACAAACAAACAGCATACTAAAATACATATTACTCTGCATGGTCAGTCATCGCCATTTTGTAGACATGGACACAGGGGAGATATCAATCTTTCTTTCTTTCTTGCTTTGTTGTTTAACGCCACACTCAGCAATATTCCAGCTATATGACGGCGGTCTGTAAAATAGTCGAGTCTGGACCAGACAATCCAATGATTGACGTCATGACATCATGAGCATCGATCCACGCAATTGGGATACGATGACATGTATCAATCAAGTCAGTGAACCTGACCACCCGATCCCGTTAGTCGCCTTTTTCGACAAGCATAGTCGCCTTTTAGGGCAAGTATGGGTTGCTGAAGACCTGTTCTACCCCGGAATCTTCAAGGGTCCATAAATCAATCATAAATCAATCAATTTTGAGGGAAACATCATTTGTGAGGGAATTTCTGTGTAAATTATAGATTAAACAATACAAATAATACAAAACTTGTTTTCCCAATATACCAGTACACAGAACAAATATTACAATCCATATCATTTGAAAAGCATATTTCAGTATTCTGGTACTATTGTGCAGTCCCATTAATTTGTATGTTCATTATAACTTACTGTAGCTAACATTTTGGCAAAAATCAAATCTGCAAACCATAACATACAAAAGTGTGACAATGTCTCACCTGACCTTGTGTCTAATGGCTTCCAGAGCAGCTGTATGTGTTCGGGTGTGACTGGAACTACCGCGCCGACCACTGTATGTACATGAGCGTGTGCCGTGAAGCTGAAACCAATGGCGCCTACATCTTGCACGGCAGTCGGAGGGTGTTTCTCAATGACAAACAGCCAGCCTTCAAAGCAGTGTATGATGCTTTCAAAGAGGTAGGTATTTAGATCCATACTTTCTTTGCATTAGGCTGAAAATATTTTATATTTGGGACATGACTTTCCGCCTTCAAGGAACAATTTTTGGTCAACATATTTCTGGGCTATCAGCTCTGATATTTTGCAGTTCTGTCTTATTTTACTTAAAGTATCACTTTGTTAGTTTGTCAATTTTTTTGGTTGATTTAGTATTTATTTTGTCTTTGTACATGTATGCTTTGAAGCATCAGTCAATAAAACATGTTTGTTAAGCACAATGCTATCTCTCCAGGATTCCAGGTTAGAGATAACTTGTGACTTAGTTGATTGTATGTCACTGTACCCAAACGTCCTGGAAATTTGCTTGTCATATCAACCACTAGATTGGTCCAGAACCTTTTATTTTTTCATTTTTTTAAAATAAATTTTATTCCATTTCCATGTACATCCAAGCACCGAAATCGAAATCCGGTTTGTAAACTGTTGTGCCGATTTCGATCAATTGCAGGATTTGCAAAGCATGTGCACCGCCAACTCATCAGTAGATATTTTCCAAATCTTTTCATGTTTATAATCAAGGGGCTCATGTGATTTGATGCATTTTGTGATGTAAGACCCATTTTATCACAATATAGATCTTGATTATAGATCAGATTGTCCTGACTGGGCGCCATCATTTTGTGTGAAGCAAACGCAAGTGATATGAGAGGAGGAATCTAATTGGTCCATAGGAGAGGCTTAGAAGGGATATAACTGGTAATAGCCACTGGTGGCGCTACGATCGAGCCCAGTAATTCCAGCCTAGTTCGGCAAGGGTGGAAACTGGACTTTGCCTCGGGAAGATGATTTACAATCAAAGTAGAAGACATAATAAAATAATATTGATAGAAGGCCTGCATACAATGTAGACCGTGGTGTGTCTTATAATTGGTCCAGAATTGATTGCATTCAGGCTGCCATCATATAGCTGAAATATTGATGAGTGCTGCGTTAAAGAACGCAAACACTAGTACTATCATCATATTGATCATAGGTGAGTCTACAACCATTACGATACGCATATCTCTGTGATCAATGACTAGAGTAGCAGTTGCCATGGAAAACAATTATTTGATTGTGGTCCATGCATTTTTACCTTATATTCATATATACTACTCAAAAGAAGTTAAGGACTACCTGATTCTTTCAAATTACAATGGTTAATCTTTCATGGTTGGTTGGTTTGTTGTTTAATATCATGAGCATCGATCCACGCAATTGGGATCGATGACATGCATCAACCAAGTCAGCGAGCCTGACCACCCGTTCCCATTAATCGCCTTTTTACGACAAGCATAGTCGCCTTTTACGGCAATCATGGGTTGCTGAAGAGCTAATCTTTCATGACAGATTAACTACAGTAATATGAAAGAGTCGGGTGGTCCGTAACTCCTTTTGAGTAGTGCTGATTTAAATAGTGGTAAACGTCTGAGACCTCCATCACTTCGGGCAATCCTCACACATTAGGCTGACACACCTTGATGTAACTGAAATACTGCACAAAGCAGAGTTGAACATTATTCACTCACTCACTCACTCCATTATTGTTGCAGCACCGTCTCGGGGATGATATCCAGTATAAGCTGTTGGTCCAGATGGAGAGGAACCTGGAGGGCACCATCAAAAGCAGCTGTGGCCAGCATGGACACATCTACACCAAACAAGTTCAGATATACTCCAATCACATGAGAGAAGCAGAGAAAAAAGCTAGAGAAAAAATGAAAGATAAAAAGCCTCCTCATCCCCCGAGATAACAGAAAATGTACATAGATGTTGGTATATATATTTTCATATGCAAATGTCCATGCAACTTAATGAGTTTTTGCTTATTTAAGACTTGAAATTTATTTAAACATTATTTTTAAGGCCTAAAATAGTAATCTGACAACAGAAGTTTAAAATTTGTGTTTAATGTGGATATTGGTTTTCATTGTTGCTTTTGTTTTCGAGGCCAGATCTTATCTATTTCCAGCTTTAGCTACATTTTGGTGCAACTTCTTTGAGAGGCTTTTTAGAAGTTAGAGTACTAAGTAAGGATAAGATATACGGATGAACAATTTCTTTATTACAGTTATGAGCTACATTTTGGCGTATGTTCTAACACCGTTATGAAGCAAGTGATGTACAGAGTATGGTTGACAAGCATATATACAGGATAGGAGGCAATGTTTATACAGTTGGATACATTAGGATGTAGTTACACTGGAGTGGAGAAGCCTGTTATGTTCATAAAAGGGGGTCATATAAGGTAAACATCTTAACAGGTGAAGCTAGTAGTTTAACAAAGTGATTATGACTGATTGGAGTCTTTGAGGAGTTGATGGTACGCAGGGGGTATGTAACAGCCTTGATCATGATTGATTGATGGTTGGAGCATTTTGATGTTGATTTCTGGAAGTTTTCTGATTTTGAAGTCTTTTAGGTTGGTTGTAAGGGCCTTCATTTTGTCCCACTGGATGCTGGGGCTTGGGTTGTCATGGATGTGGTCAAATAGAGCTGACCTAGAATCAACTGTAGAGGCTGGGCTTTAATGTTCTTTAGTTCGGGTTTTGAGGTGCCTTGATCTTTCAACAAGCTTGTCCACAATTACATGGAATGTGGTACCCTGCTCCTGATGGTTCTAGCTTGTGGCTGGATAGTGGTTTTCCTATAGCGGTTTTCCTATAGCTTTAATGGTGTTGTGAATGCTGTTACTTGAAGACTACATCAATGTTGGCCAGTTTCTTTAAGGGTCTCTGGATTTTGTGGCCACCCCACACAAGACTTAATACCACCCCACACAACACCTGTACCACCCGACACAACAACCAATACCAACCTTTACAAGACTTAATACCACCCCACACAACACTTGATACCATCCACACACAACACCTGATACAACCCTACACCACACCCAATACCACCCCATACAACACCCGGGGCAGTTGGGTAGCCTAGTGGTTAAAGCGGTCGCTCGTCACGCCAAAGACCTGGGTTCGATTCCCAACATGGGTACAATGTGTGAAGCCAATTTCTGGTGTCCCCGTGATATAGCTGGAATATTGCTAAAAGCGTAAAACCTCACCCACCCACCCACCCACCCACCCACCCACCCACTCACCCACTCACTCACTCACTCACTCACTCACTCACTCACTCACTCACTCACTCACTCCATACAAGACCCAATTACACCCCCCACTCACTCCATACAAGACCCAATTACACCCCCCACAACACCTGATACCACCCAACATAACACCTGATGCCCAAACATATGTCCTCTCGCTGATTGATAAATGGCATCATTCATCTTCATATTTGGCAACACTAAGCTCAATATATGGCCTCCCTCATTTCAAAATACATGACATGTGTATCTGTAGGAATGAGACTAAAAGTTGTTGAATGCCACATCTGCAATATTCTGGTTGTATCACAGCAGCCTGTAAATAACATCATGTCCAGACAAACCAGTGACTGACAGCAGAGCAATGTTCTAAGCATCATAGGTATTAGGACATACAATAAGCCAGGTCAGACATTGTATCCAACGAATCCTCAGTAGGCAGCTCTTTGTATGCAAGTATGGTTGCTTATGTGTTAACTTTATTACATCCTAATTTGTATGGTATTGTGATGTTAGCACTGACTGAATTGTGTTAGACTCAGCATGTCCCCTTGTCTCAGAATTTGGGATATTTCAGGAAGAATCTGTTTGTTGTTTAATGTGCAGGAAGAATCAATGACTGATTGTGTGTTGTGTCTCTTGAGATATCTATGTCTACTTAACAGAAAATGAATTGTAATTATGTTCTAATTAACTGATCTTTTTTTCAAATTACATAATTGCTGGGTGCTTATTAAAAGAATTTAGATGTCATGATTAATTTTTTTAACGATATTTAATTCCTTCTCAATTATCCCTTAGGATTTTTTGTGTATTTCACATGTTTGCTGGAATATTTCCTTATTTTCACTCTCAATTGATTTATAGTACATTAGAAGGAAAACAATATGTAAATAATGCATGTTTCAATATGTAAAGCTTAACAGTTGCAAAGCCAAAGAGTTGTATAGCTAAACAGTTACCAAACACTTGTATAGCCAAACAGTTGTATAGCCAAACAGTTGTCAAACAGTTGTATAGCCAAACAGTTGTCAAACACTTCTATAGCCAAACAGTTGTCAAACACTTCTATAGCCAAACAGTTGTATAGCCAAACAGTTGTCAAACACTTCTATAGCCAAACAGTTGTATGGAAAGACTTTTCATCCAAACCTGATACATGTAGCAGGCATTAACCAAGGGCTGAAGTCGTGCCTTTTGCTATTTAGGAATTTTTCAAAATTTGATTTTCCCTGTTTCCATTTAAGCAAGTTAGACTCAGCTGAAAAGGAGGTAGATGTCGTTTCCAGAACAGAACTAAAAAACTATTTAACATTTTGCATCCAAACTTGGCACATGTATTAATCAGGGGCTGAAATGGTGCCTTTTGCAACTTAGTTTTTTTTTAAATCAATTTTTTCCTGTTTCTTGCTACTTAGGGATGTTTATAATATATATTTTTTTCTGCCTTCATGACAGCAAGTTTGACTTTGACTCTATTCTTACTGGTGTGTTTGTCCAGACCAGGGGTCCGGAAACCGTCATATGCGCCGGACATGTCCGATTGGGAATCTCAAATGTCCGTTTTAAAATATTGCTTACCGGACATTTTAAAAAGTATTGTCCGGACATTCTTATATTTTGACCGGACATGATCAACAGTTAGGACTGAGCAGTTTCTGCCTGCAGTTGCAACACAATGAAGATTAACTACACTGACAAGCTTTGTTTGTTTTGATTGCTGAAAATACATCGTACCTACATGATAGTCCAATCGGTCAATCACTGTAATAGGCAATAAACTGAGTTGACACTGATTAATCGAGGATTAATTACTGAGAACATCTTGTTAATTTGAGTGAAAGGTGTTTACAACTGTACATTAATACCTTGCATCATCGATGTACCTCATTATCCTAACAATGCTACGATACGTAACCTCAGACAAGAAGCGAAAGCGTGACGACAGCCAGTCGACCGATGCAGTTCAGTCGAGCGGATCTACCAAACCCTCAAAGTCTGGACGATCATTTTGTAAGTCGTGGCTAACGACTTTCACTTGGTTGACATACAATGAGGATTTGCAGAATTTATTGTTTTCAGTAGCTAGTCGTATATTGAATCTTGATTGACCGCCATTTTGCTTTCTCGGACGATCGATATCCAATTTTTTTATGGTCAATAATTAAGTACAGATGAAAAAAGTATTCAAATAACTATTGCTATCAACGATATTTTAGTATTTGTGATTAAATTATCTGTCTTGTTTTTAAAAAAATCTTTAGTTTAAAAAAATGCTTTTCCCGTGAGGTCACGTGATAACCAAATATGGGATAATAGTCTCGATCCAAATGTTACAACGCGTACACTTGAGCAGACCCATGAATATAACTTATGAATATTAATTAGACCGTTCACTACGTTAACAGATCGTTATTATAACAGAAACAAACGTATGTTTTCCATGTAAATCTAAAATGATATTATTTGTTATTAATTGTCCGGTGAATTAAACAATTTAAATTGAAACAATTCATAATTCATCATATTATGAATACGTAAACTTGTAATGTGTGTGAAAAGTCGTACTAAAATACGCTATTTGAAGGGGGCGTGGCCTAAATGCAAATGTCCGATTGGGATTTTAAATTTTCCGGAGCCCTGGTCCAGGCCATATCTCTAAAACTAGTAGGTACACGGTACGCTTTCTTGGTAGTGCACACTCAAGGTTTGTCAACTCATACCTTTTGCTCTTTAGGGATTTTTAGAATGTATATTTTTTTCTGTTTCCATGGTGACAAGTTTGATTTCATCAAAATCATCATAATCAAGCTTCATTTATCAGAAAGTATATGTGATCACAGTTACGTTTGCCTTTGATAGATTAACCATATTCCTCAAATTGTTTAAAGCCTGTGATGAATTGGAGGATAGGATAAGTGTATGCCCAGCGGTGTTGGACAGAATTGTGTCCTTCATCTGCGCTGGTCTTGGATTTGAATCCCACATCAGCCCCAGTTATGATCCTACATGTCAGTGTGTCAGCACCTTACCCAAGCTTGTTTCATTAACTGGGCACACACCTGCTGACTCTGGGATTGCCTCCCCCAATAAGATGACATACCACGGTGAAACTGTAGGGATCCCATCACTAAGTTAGGAGTGTTGTAAGTACAGTCTCTGACTTTGGGATTGCCTCTCCCAGTAAGATGACATACCACGGTGAAACTGTAGGGATCCCATCACTAAGTTAGGAGTGTTGTAAGTACAAAGTCCCTGACTCTAGGATTGCCTCCCCCAATAGGATGACATACCACGGTGAAACTTTTTGGATCTCATCACTAAGTTAGGAGTGTTGTAAGTACAAAGTCCCTGACTCTAGGATTGCCTCCCCCAATAGGATGACATACCACAGTGAAACTGTTGGGATCTCATCACTAAGTTAGGAGTGTTGTAAGTACAAAGTCTCTGACTCTGGGACTGCCTCCCCGAATAAGATGACATACCACGGTGAAACTGTTGGGATCTCATCACTAAGTTAGGAGTGTTGTAAGTACAAAGTCTCTGACTCTGGGATTACCTCCCCCAATAGGATGACATACCACGGTGAAACTGTAGGGATCTCATCACTAAGTTAGGAGTGTTGTAAGTACAAAATCCAAGCATTTGTGAGGTTAGGTTAGGTTATTTGTTGTTTAACTCTCCACTCAGCAATATTCCAGCTATATGACAGCGGTCTGTGAATAATCGAGTCTGGACCAGACAATACAGTGATTTACATCATGAGCATCGATCCACACAATTGGGATACGATGACATGCATCAACGAAGTCAACAAGTCTGACCACCCGATCAATATCAACAATCAGCCATTCAAAAGAAATCCAAAAGGATGACCAATATATAGATCTAGCAACAAAAAGGACAAAACTTCAACCAAAATAATAATACTTAAAGTTCGAGGAAACTAGGAATAATTAGTGAAAAGTCTTAGAAGCCTTGTGAAAACGTAGGATAGGTTTATGGCATTTTTAGTGTGGAATGCTGTAAATTAGAACTGATGAATATATTTTTGATGCAGTCTGTTTTAAGGAGTGGTTGAAAAAGTTCACTTTAAAATAAAAATTCTACATAGACCCCATATTGGCACTTTGTCCTGCTGATATATGCCATGTTTTCCTGATATGTTTACTAAACCAAGGTACACACCCTGTATGTGACAAATGTACGAGGTCTTGTGACAAAAATGATAAAAAATGAAGTTTTGTAAAGTATTGTTTAGTTTTTCTCCTTATGTCTTTTGATTGATCTACAAAATACTACAGCTTTTAGAATTAGATTATTTAGATTATTTTTAATGCCTTAAGCATAAAATTATTTAGGTCACTGCTCAAGGATGAGAACAAGTAAATATCACATGGAGAGTGCAATATTTCCTTTGTGAAATATTTGTTTGATTCCTACAGTTCAAATGAAGACTTTAATGTTCTACTATTTTTCCTTTTTACATATATTTTAGCAAATAGGTTATCCCTTAGATGTGTTACTGTGATGGACAAAAATATTTCTTTAGTGAGCCTTCTAACTGAAGTCATGTGTGTACAACCATTTATCCATGTGATGCATGATTATGATGATTATTGTCATGATTGTGTGATGATTCATATTCAGAAATAAAATATCTACTGCCTTTGTTTCTTATTAGATCCACTGTTTGTTTACCTGTACTGTTTAGGAAGTATTGGAATGGGAACCAAGGCAACTAATTAGGTGAGCAGAGTTGCATCCCTTAGTCGTGTCAGGATATGTTGATCAAGGAATTGGATATAGGATTGTTCTTAAACTGGCCCCTTATGGTTTTAGACTTAGTCATATAGTTGACGTCACAAGGACAGAATTAGTGCAAACAATTGAAAGGACTCAATACCAATTGTTTGTTTGTTTTTAATGCCA